TTTTTTCTCATTGTGGGCCTGGAAAACTCCTTGCAGAGGCGGTCAGTGCTAATTGGTGGTGTTTAAGCTCAGTGAGTGGCCAGCTGTGGTGAGAGGCAGCTCAGTATATCTCCTTCACCTGCAGTTAGGGATTGAACTATGAAGAAACAGCATTGGAGTTAGCTGAGCAATTCCAGGCTTTGGGAAGCTGCTGAAGGAGAAGCAGGAAGAGTGAGAGGCAAGAGGAGCGGTAAGGAAGGAGCAGGAGTGTGCTGAAGCTGTAAGTTCTGTTATTCCAGAAGGGAGGTTTTGCTGCATGTTCTGTTTGTGCCCAGGGGGTGGCAGAAACCAGAGAGGAGTCCTGGTGGTGTATGGAAACTGGGGTTGGTTCTTGAGCTCTCTGCAAAGTTCAGGCTGTGAAGCTGTCCTCTGTTTCTTCCCAGTATTCTGCTCTCCAGTTTTGCATAGAGAATAATCTTGCTCTTGCTCTTGCTCTTGCTCCTACCTGCTCCCAGGTGACTACATTATGATGCATACGGTCTGAACAGTGCTAAAGCACTCTAGCTCTCTTTTTCCCCTTTTGAATCATCCTTTTGCTTTACATATTTTACTTTTGGTGGTGTTCCTCCTACCCTTCTTCCTGGAGTAAGACAGAGCTGACCCTCCCTCCCAGCACGATGGTACTGGAACAGAAGGTGTCCAAATGTTGATGGCTCTCTCCTGCAAGAACGTCCTATGAGAACAGCTTTGCTGAGGCTAAAAGAATGAGTAAACTTGTAAAAACCCTGCTGCTGGAGCCAGCACTGAGCGTAGTGCTGGCTGCTCCCCAGAGCTGTAATTCACAGCTGAACAGCGCTGAGGTTTTCTACCTGGGGGAACTTCCAAGATTTCAGAACTTATGAAGTTGGGGGGATAATAAGAAGGGGTGTTCTGCTGCTCTGAGCTGTCTCAAAGCTGGTGGCACATCCTCCACAAATATTCCAGCTCTTGTGTGTCAGCAGCTCCTGACAGCTTCTCATCTTGCCTTGCACAACCCTTGCATTGTGCCAGACTTCTTCATCTCCCTCACTGCTCCATTCCTCTTTCAGCAGCTGCTGTGGGGGACCTGGTGGCTTGTAGGAGAGCACAGTAGAAGGTGAGAGTGCAAAGGAGCAGCGAGGTTGCAGAGTATCCCCCCACAGGAGGGGAATACTGAGAAAAAAGCAGCCTCTGGGAGCACTTCCCTGGGGTGAGATGCTGTTGGATTGGAGGCAGGCTGAAGCAGGGTGAGCGTTTCTCAGAACACTGCTGCTATGGGCAGGCTGCTCACAAGGCAAAAATAGCCGAGCTGGGCAACGTGATACTTTGGCATCAACGGCTTGTGCATTGTAGGCTTGGAGGCAGCCAGCCCCTCTGACCTGTGGTTCAGTCTTGCTTTGTTCTGATGCTCGCTTTCAACAGCGTGAGCTCCCAGCCATGGGGAGCATAACCAGCCCCAATTCCCCTGCAGCTGTGCAGGGGTTGAGCTGTGACTGCATCTCCCATAATCATTCTGTGTTGCTCAGGTCCAAGAGTGCAGGTCTCAGCTGTGTGCATACGGAGTAACAGCTAATTCTTCATGAACAACTCTGCTGATTACTTATAGGTATGAAGTTCAGCCCATGAGCAGGACATGTGGGCGCTCGGCTGTCAGCATGTGGTGCAAATTCTCTTCTGTTCCTCGTGCAGCAGCTAAAAGCAAGCCAAAGCTGCCAGCCGTTACCAGTGGGTTGGATGCTTTCTTTGTTAAATTACTGCATAGCAACCCACCACCATCATATGACTGATGTTACTTCCCAGTCTGATGTCCTTCCTGCAGTTACACCTCAGTCCCTGAAGCAGAGCAGTCCCCCCACATCTCCTGCTCCTCTCCTTGCCTTGCTCCCTGCAACACACAGCATAAAGATGATGACTGCCCGGCTTGCTCTGTGCTTTCCAGCTCTGAGGCTCTTAGCACTCCCACCAAGTGAATCACTGACTTGTGCACCTCCTCTGAAATCTCAGCCTCCTCCAAGGCTCTTTTAATAAAACAGATGAGAGATGTCAGAGCAAAGGCTTTTCCTCTTGAAAAATGAGGTTCCGCTGATATTTTCTGTAGTAAACATTTCTTGACACGAGGGATTCTTTAAAGCTTCTTTTCCAATTGCTTTTGTCTGTGCTCCATCCAGCTGCTTCTCCACTTGGAAGCATGGATGAGGCTGGATCTAGCAAGTTTTTGGCTGGCTCCTATAGGGAAAGTGTCCTGGCACCATCCCAGCTGTGGGGAAGGTTTGAAAAGCCTGTGCCCTGCTGCCTCCTACCAGCAGAGGAAGAAGGAATAAAATGGGATTAAGAACAATTTCCTTTGTATTTCCAGTCAGCTTTGGTGCCATCTGTTGGGATTTAAGTTTATGGCTCTCATGGGGATGAATGGGGAAGGTGGATCCTGCCTTGATTTTTGTGTTGCCCCATCCTGGGTTTCTCATGCTGTGGCGCTGGCTGGGTGCAGTGGGGCTGCTCAAGCTCACTGCTTTTTGGTTCTGCAGCTCGTTGGGATGCAATAAGTGGGAAGGGAGGGCTCCTGTAGAGCCCTCTTCTATCTGCAGAATCGTGGGGGTTCTGTGAGCCCTCAGTTGATCCCTTCTTGGGGGAAGGACCCAGAGATGTTCCTTCTTGTTCATCTTGCCTTTCCCAGGGCAGATCCTTGAGGAGGGGGTAGCAGCCTTATTTAAGGCAATCGATACTTCAAATAATGTACCAGGGATTCAGCTGCAGGCTCTGTGGGCTGCTCCTGGGCCTTATTCCTCTTTGGGGGAAATTAGAGGAGTGCGTACCTGCCTTCATTTTGTGAGAGACTGTGGAAGTTTGTCAGGTATGGAAGGCTGAAGTGTGGTTCTCTCCTTAGTGGGAATTGGGGGAGCTTGGCTGGATGTATCCTGCCCTGTGAAGCAAGGGTAGGGGAGGAGAAGCTGCTTGAACTGAAATACTGCGTTAGATCACAGACCTGCTCTGGGGATGGCTGGGGGTCTGTGAGCACCCTGCCTGCCACAGCAATTGCTCAGGGGAGGCTGTAGGGGTGAAAATCTGAGCAGTTCTTAGGACAAAGGTTGATTTTTATCTATGAAAGTGATGCTGTGATATCTGCCCTATCCCATACTGCTGTTGCATCCCATCTAAGAGACTAGCCTCAGTCTGGGTCAAATGCTTCCCTGCTCTTGCAGGCAGCCAGAGTCAGCTCGATGTGAGCTTGTTGCAGGGGCTGCGAACTCCCCAACTCTGCAGGCAGCTGCTGGGCTGCAGTGCTTCAATGCCTTTTCCCAGTGCAGGTAAGTTCTTCCTCTGAAGAACCAAATGGCTGCAGAGGAGGGCAGCTCTGTGCTCACAGTGTGGTGTCACATCCATCCATATCACACTGTGCACTGATCTCCATCCCGAGGGAGCCAGCTAGCAGCACCCAGACCTTGGGCTCTCACTGCAAAGGAAAACTGCTACTGGGAAGAGTGTGATCACAGTCACCCTCTGACCTACAAAGCACAGAGCTTGGAAAGCTCACTTGTCTGGAGCTCGTCTCTGGCTCTGTGGATCTTGGCGTGTTCTACTGAGTAATTCCCTTCTTTGTCTGGGAAACCTTAATCCAGCAGCATGGAGGAGTTTAATAGAGGTGGAGTAATTTTCTATTTTAGTGGGGTTTTTTTTTTTAGGCTTTTCTATGCTATCAGCACGTACTCAATGCCTGGTTGGGCAGCTCTAATTTTCTCACTGTTTGCAGTACAGACCTGCAACTCATTTCCTCCATCAGCAATGTTTTTTGCAGGATGAGAGGCAGCAGCTGTGCAGGATCCCTCAGATTTCGGCGAGCTGCACATTGTCTCTAACCTGCTTTGCTGTGAGTTCCTGCCCACCCCATGCCTTGGCTGGGGGTAGAGTGATGTGACGGAGCTGCTGTTTGCTGATGTGTGTTGCATGAATTAGCACTGCCCCTCAAGCACCATCCACGGGCTGAATGGAGGATGTAAGTGTCCTTTTAGGCTGCTGTGGGCAGCCCACCCTTGTGGTCTGTTTTCTAATAGTGGTGGGTCAAGGCAGGTTTTGCCCCATGGTCAGGCATGGGGCAGAAGGCTAACGAGGATGGTGTCCATCATCACCTGTTCATTGCCACTGATGGATGCATGGGACAGAGCTTTCCAGAACAGCTGTAGGAAACTTCAGAGCAAGCAAGAAAAGGAGAGGCAAACTCTTGTAAGAATGAATTTGGTCTGTTAGGTTTTGGGATGCTTACTTATTTATGTTTTGATTTTTATAATGCTCAGATGAAAGCCATCTCCAGCCACATCCACTGTCCCCACGTTGCTCTGTCTCTGGTGCTCTCACTTGCACATGGATGGTCTCTGGCTGTGGGACAGCTGCCTTGTCTCACAGCTCTGTTGGAGCACTCACAACAAAACTGAGTGGGAGCTATGAACTGCAAGATCCGAAATAAAGCAGTGGCTTTCTCAACGAGAGGAAATCTGATCTGCTCAGACAACAGTCGTGGAGGCTTCACTTTCCCAGGAAGGATTAGGGCTGCTTGCTGATTCCTCCTCCTTCCTGGAGCAAGTTCTGTTGACTCGGGCAAAGAAAGGGCCTTTTGGGTACCGAAGCCTCTGGGCTCTTCCCCCAGCTAAGAATCCCTCCAGCAGTACTGCTCCTCCCAAGAGGTGCCCTGGGGAAGGAGGAGCAAACTCTTATGTTCCCTCTGCAGTTGTCCCAGAGACATAAGGACAAGATATTTCATGCGAAGGCTGTAGCAAGCCCAATGGGCTTTCTGTCTTCCCAAGAGCTGCTGAAAGGAAAAGAACAAACAAACAAAAACCAAACATCCAGGCTGTGCTAAAAAGCCCTGAGGCTCTTCCTGTAGTTGCTGCTTCCCAGAGAAAGGAACTGGATCTCTGCTGTGGTTCATGATTTCTCTCTGCACCTCAGCTGTGGTGATGTCCCACCTCCGGTGCCTTTTGATCTTGGATGACATCTAATGAGATGGATGGCTGGATTCTGAATGTCCCAATGGAGATGGCAGGTGGGTGGCCTGGGGGATGACGAGTGGTCAAATCACTTTCCCACAGAGCTGTCAGCTTCCAGACAAATGTTGAGTCCTGGTATTATTATCCACCCTACCTGCTCTGTGGGCCTGAGATGAGCAGGGCCAAGAATAGAAAGAAGGCGATCTGCTTCCTTTGCTCCTCCTTAGAAGGAAGGCTACTCATAAATCTATCCTTTCTGTGCTTTCTGCTCGGTGATGAGTGC